GACGCGCAGGAGTATTCAGGAGTTGAGATGCATGGCAGATGTGCGTGCAGAAGAGGAGTCATTGGTCCAGCGTCTTCGTCTTCATGAGGGTGACAGCGGGGAAAACGATATTCAAAAGAAACTGGACGAAATATTTAAAAAGTCCAGTCCTGAGGGTGCAGTGGTGGCTGCAAGTGGGGAACAAAATTCTTTACATTCTTTATTGATGACCAGCACCAGGATTACTCTGGAGGAAGACTTGAGGAACTCGATAAAAGAAGGCTACAAGCAAGACTGCAGATGGGCAGAAATTTTGATTCAGTTGGAATCTGCCCAAGGACGAGTCACCAGGATCGGGAATCGTGACTACCGATTGAACCATGGATTCATTGAGATCAAATTGAAGGACAACACCGAGGACAGGCAACCTTGGAGATTGGTGGTACCAGATGTGGAGGACGCCCGCAAGAAGATTATGGCAGAGATACATACAGTACCATATGAGGGACATCTTGGTTACCACAAGACACTCAAGAAGTTACAGCAGAATTTCTACTGGCCAGATCACACAGTGGATGTACGAGACTTTGTGTTGGGATGTGAGGTCTGCCAGTCAGAGAAGAGTGTCCACAAGTTGCCAGCAGGACTCCTTCAGCCTTTGCAACTTCCAGAGGAAAAATGGAGTGATGTCAGCCTCGACTTCATCATGGGTCTACCGGTCAGTGAAAGGAAAAACGATGGGATTCTCACAGTGGTAGACCGAGCTACCAAGATGGTACACTTAGTACCAGTCCAGCAGACCATCACTGCTGCTGAGACAGCTCGAGTCTACTGGGAACAGATTGGACGACTTCACGGGATCCCCAGATCGATCGTCAGTGACCGAGATCCACGATTTGTGTCGAAGTTCTGGCAAGAATTCTGGAAGATTTTGGGTAGCAAGCTGAGGATGTCCAGCGCTCACCACCCCCAGACAGATGGACAGACAGAGGCAGCCAACAGGGTGGTGGAGCAAGTACTCAGGTGTACGATCCATGGCAGTCAGGAAGTCACTCATTGGGAGAGATACTTGCCCATGGTGGAATTCGTGATCAACAGCAGCGCATCGCCATCCACGGGGTACACACCCTTTTATCTGAACTATGGCTTTGAGCCAGTGACCCCGTTGGATCTGATCAAGGATGTAGACCAGACCAACATTGAAGGTGTCAACGTCTTTGTTAACAGGATGAAGAAAACATTCAAAATGGCGATGCAATCAGTTCATCAGGCTCAGCAGAGGCAGAAGCGTCAGGCCGATCAGCGGCGCAGAGAACAGAGGTTTTACAGTGGGGAACAGGTGCTACTCAGTACAGAGCATTTGCAGTTGAAGAATGCACCTGTTCGCAAACTGAAGCGACGATTCGTAGGACCATTCGTTGTGGTCCGTCAGGTGGGATCAGTGGCCTACGAGTTGAAGCTACCAGAAGGGTGGAGGATTCATAACGTCTTTCACACCAGTTTGCTACGACCATTCAGATCGTCCAGATGGTCTACCCCACAGGAGACAGATGATGCCGAGATCGAGCTAGAAGCTGATGAACCGTACGAAGTAGAGAAGCTGCTGCGATGGAGATGGGCAGGACCCAGTGGCAGGAGGCATAAAGAGTTTTTGGTGTTATGGACAGGGTGGAGTATTGACGATGCCTCCTAGATACCGGCTGGAAATTTCACCTACGCCAGAGAGCTCCAGAAGATGATCAAGAGGGACAAGCCCGAGGAAGACACTAGTATGGGATAGTGTGCTTTCGGGGGCGAAAGCTACCCCAAGGGGGGAGTATTGTGACGTGGCTGCTTGGGGGTTAGGCTTATTTGACATTTCTGGAGTGGGAATTACGTAATTGGCTAAATCGACCTTTTGGGAGTGTAGTTAAGAGCTTCCTGGTTCCAATGCGCTTTTAAACGCCCAAATCCGTTAAGAATTGACGAAGATATGGCCTCCTGAAGTCGTAGTACTTAGTGCCAGGGGGTCGGGTGTTAGACGCTTGGAATTAGAGGACAATGGGTCGATCGTAGGTGAACGGTGGATGGTGACTGAGTGCCTGGACGCGCACATGAGTTGTCTTGTCTTGATGTGACAGCGATGGACCCGCGATCGGGCATCGCGCATGCGATATGTGCGCGCGCATGTTGTGAATCCATGTAACATCCTTTGGCCCACTCTCTGGCCTCCCGCGAGCCAGCGAACCACCACCTCGCTGCGCCGCCACCTCTCGCCGACAGCAGGCCCCGGGGATCGATCCCGTCGAGCATTGGGCCCACCGCGCGACCGCCGATTCGACTGCCCCGGATACGCCCACCGTCCGAGGTGGAGAGAGCCGGCTGACCTCCAACAGCCGAGCCGCAGGGCAGGGCGACCCCCACGCCTCCGGAAACCAGCGGCCGCCGACGGGGCTGCAACAATATGCCAGCGCATCAATCACAAATTACCACCAAGCATGGACGGACTCGAGATTTCTGTTTGCAACGATCAAGAGTTTACAGTCTCAACAGTGCCAACTAGCAAGCTGGTTGTCTCTCCCTTTAACAAATGCAAATATACAGGCACCAGAAATGCGTCAAACATCTAGACTCGGTTCAAATTCATAAACGCTTTTTAATTCGTTGAACATCCAACAACTCAACAAATAATACATTTCCATAATTAGGCTATACCATATATTGATGTTTAGCACATCTCCTTGTCCTTCAAGATGTCGCCAAGAAGTTCATGCACCGAATCTGTTAAAAAATTCAAAACTATTCGATCACTAAGGTCAAGCTTGTCTACTCAACTGAGAAGCAAATTCATATAGCACAAGTTTCTATAACTACTGGGCAAACGCAACTAGATATACGATTCATTGATCAGATGCGCCATCATGACAACCAAACTTCAAATCATTGGTACGATATTCCAAGCACAACACCATAATAAATTCTATTTTGGGCAAGATTTTCCAAGGAAGATACATGATGTAGATGCATCAACACAGGCAAGTCAGATATTACAAGTATATGAAATGTTCATGTTGCAGCCATCACAATCGGACTGAGCTTGGAATCAGTCTTTGTTTCTCCCATTTTTTCCTTTTTCTTAATTTTCTTATGCAAATTTTCATATTTTAGATGGCAGACAACACCTCTATAATGTGGTGCTTTAACATTTACCGTATCAAGAAACATGCTAAAGCAACATATTATGGAGGTGTTGTATCCCGTCGAAAACATGAAAATATTTTAATAATATCATTAAAACTTGGTGCAGTCATCTTAGTGGTCAAGTGCTGGCAACCCAACCAACTGCTAGAATGTAGACACTCAAACATTGCTAGCAACAAAGTAATGAAAGGTAATGTAACTGGCGGTTCTTGTGCATAGCACAGATTGTATGTCAACTGTAGTAGTGCACTGAGTCAGGAAAATTGATTGCATTTATCATGGGATGAGTCAGTTATCGGAGACAGTACCAAAGGGGTGCACGCAATGCCCCCAAACTGCAACAAGTGCGACTTGTTTGTTATCCTCCAGGCAGCGCATCGCACATTGGCAGGACATACGTTGTTTGCGCGACAGACAAGAAGGAGGCATGACAAGGCCCTCTTAAAGGTAAAGATAGAAAATTCCGGTTATCAACTCCACCAACCATCTCAACCAATCCATTTCCAATTACTCAAATCATTTATGTTGTCAGTTGTGGCGTGGTTACTTGGGGTTAGGCTAAAATTGGCATTTCTGAAGTCACAATTGGTCGAAAAAATGCAAATACGTTAAAATCAGCTTATTCAAGAGCTCTTGATGCCAATAGCACCTTGAAACGTCTAATTCCGTGTAGAAACGGCGAAGTTATGGCCAGTTGAAGTTGCAGTACTTTAGCATGGGATTCGGACCGGTAGATAGAAGCATCGGGGATTATGCAGAGCTGATTTAGTTGAACTGTGGACGGTGACGATGTGCCTGGATGCGCACTTGTGTTGTCTTGTCATGATGTGACCGCGATGGACCCGCGATCGGGCATCACGCATGCGATATGTGCGCGCGCATGCTGTGAATCAATGTAACCGTTCTGGCCCACTGTTTAGTCTCTCCGCGACCAACGAGCCACCGACTGGCTGCGCCACCACCCGCCGCATACAGCAGGCCCCGGGGGACGATCCCCATCGTTCTGGGCCCACCGCGCATCCGAGGGAACGAGCGCCCTGCTACCGCCCACCAAATTCGGTGGAGAGGGCCGGCTGACCTCCAACAGCCGAGCCGCAGGGCGTGGCGACCCCACGAGCTTCGGAAACCAGCGGCGCCCTTCAGGGCCGCAACATCAGTTCCACACGTCCAAGCTACAAATTTGCAAATGCAAAATGTCCATGCAAATCAAAATGAAAGGGAAATAAAAGAGAACAAGAAAATTGATGTGCAATTTCGGGAAACGTTTCATTGCTTCCGCGAAAGAAACCCTGCAGTCAAGACACACTAACCGAGGCATTCCTCTTTGAATTGCATAATGTTCTTCCAATTTAATTGCAAAGTCATTCAAGACATAAACAAACGCATAGAGGCCCGTGATGTCCTTGGCAAACATGTTTGTGATCGAAACAGTTTCCCACGAGCCAAGTTAACTCAAAACGATTCCAGGATTGTATCAATTCAAACGAATTGTGTCGAATTAAACGAATTTTCATCCGACGATCTTTCTTCCAATTAACCAATTTTCGTAGTGGGGCTGTCCCAAGATGAGTAATGCGTTTTGAAAAGGTGACCAGTCCCTCGCTGGGCGTGGGACCTGAGTGCTCCACCACATAAAACGGCGGTCGTCATGTGGCCTCGCGATAACTCGAATGGGCGGAGGCCAAAATTTCCATTTATTCCACTTTTGCCCGGTGATTAACCCAATAGCCATTGGAATCAAAACACAATCAGGCGGAATGGACAAAAGCGGCGCTGGCGCCTTCACCTGTCGTATTTCGTGCTGGCTGCGTCGCCGGCCAGGGCACAGTGGCGGCCCGACCATGGACAACGCCGCTGCGCGCTTCAGCCAGTCCTGCCCCGAGTGCGGGGGACAAGATTTTGTCGAGGACTACGCCCACGGGGACCTCGTGTGCACGGTACCGGCCGTCCCCAACGGCCCCGCGCACTCACCGTCGCCCTGCGAACGCGATCCCGGGGGGACCGTCGGACGAAGGGACTCCCGGCGCATCCCCAAACTTCGAAACTTTATGCTCTGCGGCACCGCAGGGCGGAATCCGCGGGCCGGGGGTGGCGGAGCTGCCCGAAGCTGCGGGACACCCACGCCCCCGCATCGCCCTGAGTCGCGAAAATTCGAGCGTGTGGGGGCGAAACAATGGGGAACGCAGTCCTTGGAACAGGGCCGGTGGCCATGTTAGCCGCGCCCGTGGGCTGTTGGGGGTTTTTCCTTTCGTGCAAGCTTGGGCGAAATTTGTGGAGAGCTGCCCGTTTGGACGGTCAGGACTGCGCTCGGCTTGAGCTCCCCAAGATTTCCCTTGAACCACGGTGTCCGACCGGTCCCAGACCCTGAAACCAGATGAACGGCCCTGGCCGTGCTTTCTCAGCCTCAGTGTGCGACTGGCCAACAACGGCGACAACGAGTGAACCAACGGGGGCATCTTCTTCCTCAGGATGGACAAGAGTCTTGCAGAATTGTCTGGGCCACTGCACTACATTGTTTACATTGTTGACAAAGATTCTTGGCTGCTGAGTGGCAATCGCCACTGCTGCAACGTGGATGTACCCCTGCAGTTGGGGTATGGCACCCACCTTACTTTGCCTCTGCATCCCTGTCATGCAGAGCTGCGCCCTGGTGCTGGAGTCACATCTCATCGACGAGCGATCGGAATGGCGAACGTTCACTGATTCGGTGAGGGTGGTGGTGCATCCTGCAGCAAAGGCGTACTTTGTCTGTCCCCATTCTCCGGGACGCTGGTAGCAACTGTGCATAACATGTGCAGCACTGCCCACCCTGGCTAGAGGGGCAGACCCACTGCGTGGGCAGGGTACCAATACTGCTTGTGGTCCCCAGGGAGGATGCAAAGATGCTGTCCCCTCATATATTGCAAGGACCTTCTATGTGAGAGTGATAGACGATTATGCACTGAAGATGGGTTGGTATTTGATGGTGGATGTGCTTTCCAATTGTGTGAGTGATGGCCCCAGTCATCATCCCTGTAGACACTCAGGGACATGGTGCATGGCTGTGCACAGGACAAAACTGGTGCAGATCCAAACAGAGTGGGGAGTCCCACAAACAAATTGTTGGGAGGCGGTGGCTTGTCTACCGTCATTGGCAAGACACAGGTGGGACTTCCGCATTAATGTTGGTCTGCTATGGGGATATGTCTTGCCCCTTGTTTGCTACAGGCATTGCTGCTGGACAGCAGCTGTGTGCCAAGATTGAAGTTGCTCTGGTGGAGTCCAGGGCACCGTGTGGCAACAGATTGCAGTAGCTGCTGCCATTCCAGCAGTTGTGTCCTATTCCATTGATTTCATGCTGGTCTCAACATGCTGTGCAAGCCCTTTCATTCAGCCGGCAATGTCGGGCAATGAGAACAATCGCAGTGTGATGTTCCGAGACCAAGTTTATGTCCGCTGGCAGTAGCAGTGTGTTTGCTCCTTATGTGTTGCCTCCATGCAGCAAGACCAGGCGATGCAAGCACACCTGTGCAGTATGACATGCTCATAAGCATAAGCGTTGAACAGCAGCTTGGCCTGGGGTCTGTCATTGCCCCAGAATTGCCACTTGCACGATGCCTTTGCTCATTCTTGCCACTCCAGGGTGATGGTGGCGCCTCATACGCTCTGGGAAGGCTGAACGCCCGGACCAACTACCAAGACCGAGTGCTCATCAACGCATTCAGTGAAATAAGTTCCATGTGTCGCAAACTCAGCCTGGTGGAGAAAATCAAAGACCGGGCTTGCGAGCTGTACAAAGAGGTAGGATTGTTCAAGTGTCTCTAGTCCAGGAGCAGTGCTGGTATCACTACGGCTTGAGCACTGTGAACATTTTTGCATAAATTGATGGCTACTGATGCCACCAGTGCTGGTCAACCACATTGATTTATTGTTTTGGCTGTCCGCCATATAAGCACTTGTGATGCAATGTGTACCCGAGTATGAAGTGCGAGATTCTGCACATTACTCACAACTTTGTCTTCTTTGGTGGCATATGCAGGTTGTTGTCGAGGGGTTAGGGTTGTAAGGGACAGGGCTGAACGCATATCTTAAGGCAGAAAATTCTAGCAGTCTGTCCGTTGTGTGCCGCAAAAAAGGAGGGCATTCACTGCTTGTGGTGTCCCCAACTCCTGCCTACCCCACATCTGCACTGATTCCCTGTGTCCCAACTCATGGTTTGTGGTCCTCACCTAGTACAAAGACCTCAAGTCGATAAGGGGCAGGAAGGCCATCGCGTTTTATGCGGCGTGCATCTACATCGCATGCCGCCTGGAAACCCTACCAAGGACCTTCAAAGAGATCAATGCTGCAGCACCAGATGCCTCGAGACGGGACATTGCCCGATGTTTTCGGGCTGTCATTACCGAGATGCAGGGAGTTGGTGTGGCCATGGAGGTTGGCACAATCCATGCCTCAAACTATATGGTGAGGAGAATGGGATGGCAGGGGTGTGTGGTCAGCGTTACTCTCAAAACTTGACCCCCTGGTTTGGAATTCACGGGGTGCTTGGAAACTGCGTAACCAGTTGTGTTAACATTTCAAACACTGCCCTTGTACCTACCGTTGTACTGTATGTTCCACTGGCTGGTCGATCACGGGTTGTCTTGTTTGCTTCTTGCTGTCTTCTCAATTGGTTTTGGCGTGTTGAACCACCCACGGCGCAAAAGCAACTGCCTGTTATAGATAGCAGCCTACACTTTCCAAGCGTGGTTGCCTGCCCAAGCCGAACTGGAGCACTTTGAGTGCCTTGACAACTGTAATGACCATCAGACAGGCTCTTCGCCCCCACCAATGAGGAGTGCCTCCCCTGCTGTCCTATCTGAACTCAATGGTGCTGTTCTGCAGCGTCGTTTTGGCTCCAATCTCAACTTCTCGAATGACGACATGCGGGCCTGCGAGCAGGTTGCGAATGCTGCTTGCCCAAAGGTATCATGTGTGCATGTTGTGTCACGCACAGTGTGAAAGATTAGTCTTGCTGATTGTTGGGGTTCCACCTTGCCCCATCCCCACCTTTACCATTCCCCTTCCGTTTGTTCATCCCTTTGTTCTCGATGGCAGTCTTATAAGAGCAGCATATTGCACCATCCTAATCTACAACTGTATTGCATTTGATTAGATTGCTGTGCAATGGTTTTCAACAATGTTGATGTGATGCGGCATACCCGACTAACGATGCTGAGGTGGTGCCACTTGCAGATTTTAATGAGTGAGATGGTCCTTTATGAATGCGCGTGACCTGGGGTCGTATTGTTGCATTGCAAGGCAGTCACGGCTGGCACCAGGTTTGCTGCTTCCTGACAGCTGATACTTGCAATGGGTACTTGTGTACAGGATGGCAGGGTGAACGGCGATGAGAAGAAATGGGATGGCAGGAGCCCCATTTCGATTGCTGCGGCGATCATTTATCTCATCTCCTTGACACAAACTGTAAGACAAGAATTCTGTTGGGCGAGCACATCACTAATGAATTCCACAGGAGTTAACTCATATACCTGCACACCATGTCCTCTTGCCCTTTTCGCACCCACACAAGTAGCGCTTCTCTGGCCATGCCAAGAAGCTTTGACTCCTGGTGCATTTGAAAGTGTTGCCCAGCCTTTTTCACCCTGCAGTGCAGTGAACCATCTCCTCTTCTAACCCCCCACCCCCACCCCCACCCCCACCCCCACCCCACCCACCCACACACACACAGTAGAAAAAGAAACAAGCCTGTACATGCCTGTCTGTGCAACCTTTCGAGCATAGCTTTGCCTTGACATGCTACAGGGGAGCTCACAGTGTTCATGCTGCATTGTGCCATGCTTTTATTTAGTATCGATCATCAGGAAAGGTCGTGGACCTCAAGTCAATTGTGGAGGTGACTGGCGTCAGCGAGGGCACCATAACCTACACTCTGAAGGAACTGCAGGAAGAGGCGGTGAGCATCCAAAAGCCTGCTTGTGAACGCTTCTGGCATGGTTGGGAGTGTGGTTGGCTGTGGCGGCGTGCCTGAGCTTCATATTTTTGCGTCGTGAGGTTGACAGACTTTGAGGCCATGTTTGCACTGTTGCGGTGCCTTGCCAACTCAGATGATAGCATCAAAGTTGGCAGCTGTTCATTTTCTTGGGGCGCCGCCCTGTGTTTGGGTCTGGTTGAGCTAGGAATTGGATACGAGCGCACTCAAAACGCGAAGCGTGTGTGACAGTGGCGATTGCCGAATGCTGCCCCTTTTTGATTTCCAACCCCTGACAGGCAATGTTCCTTTACCATAGGCCTCCCTCATTCCAGATTGGTACAAAGGCATGAGGGCCGGCAGCAAGAAGAGGGCCAGGGAAGGCGCATCTTTGGTGGAGGCTCCCAGCCCGTCCGGCCAGAATGGCAGCAGACCAGCTAAAAAGCCGGTTGTGGCCTGATAGGTTTTACTTTGGGTCCGAGTGGCGTAGCGTTCTGGCTGAATTGATAATGTATGAGCGCACATTTAATTGCAGGCTTGGAGGGGCTGTTGACCCCATCACAACTGTGAAATCATGGGTGTCCTGAGCAGTCACCGTCGTACCGTGGCGCTAGTACAGGGGCGCTGAGCGTTGCAGGGTGAGGGAGTGCTGCCCTTGATGGCAAGGCAATGTGCCCATGCTGACAAATGACCCCCACGCCGCGACCAGGTGGTGAAGGGTGAGCGCTTACTAATTGGGCAGTGGGCAGAATATAGGATCGCCCCGCCGAATGGGCGGTGTCCCATGTCACCCTCTGATGGAAGCTGCCAGCTCGAGTCCAGCCAGGTATCGAGAATGTGGTCTGCAGCTTTGTCACAACTCGTGTGGCGCAGCATCCAAAGGTGGCTCACATCCTCTCGTCTTCGTTTTGTGTTGCCCTACAGATGCGCAGCCACATCTTGCGCATACGTTGTTTCCAGTTGCCGTGACCTTGTCATGCAGGTCCACCGGACAACTGGGAAACCCCGCTGCCGTTCCCTGGGGGGTGTGAGAACGTTAGCTCATTGATCATCGTTGCGGCAGGTGTTCACACGGGCCACTCGACCCCACCCCTCGCCCTGCCCATCCAAAATGACTCCGCAGACCCCACACACAGTTGTCGTGTCCAACACACGTGCTTGGCGCTTACAAACTGGAAAAGCAACGGGGAAAAGGGGGAAAGCCACTGCCAGAGAGCGCGTCACTCCTGTTATTCCTTGTCGATGATTCGCTGCGGCCCCTTTTGCCACTGCCACGGAATGATGTCAACAAGATATTGAAGACTGCAAGACCCTGTACTACTGGCCTCTGAGACCCATGCGCGAGGGTGGGTGGCAGACCACATAAGATGCGTGACCTGAGACAATATAACAAGCTGACCTAACAGTACCCAACTCACAAGAAACCTAAAGCCCCATCAGCAGATGCCAAGTTCAACCCGGGCGTGGGACTCGTGATGTGGGGCAATCGTGGAGCCATGGCATCACGCCATAAAGTATCGCATTCAGCTCCATATATGGAAAAGAATATGCCACTCTGTGGTCTAGCACACAAGAAAAAACAACTGGTGCAGCACGCACAGCACCACCAAGGCACTAGGGTGCTTGAAATCACCAAATCCTTGCCTCTCCCCACCCACAGGCCAGTACCTGTTATTATACAGCAACATAATGTACACAAGCGCCTCATCCCGCAGCATGACGTACACCACAACAAAGGTGCACTGACTTCATGCAATTAGAATACACAGTGTCCCAGCCCATGCACTCGGAAACGTCCCTCCTGGTTATTTGAAATGCTATGCTGCTATTGTTTGGCGTTTTCTGAGCCTCTGCTTCCTGCACTTCACGTCTTCCCCACCATCAGCAACAACCAGGTTGGCGACCTGGCTCTCCAAGGCAGCCACCACATCTGAATGCTCACTCTCGAGCTGGGCCATCTGCTCTTCTGTGTGCCCAGCCAACATCTTGTCATTGCCCTTGAATGTGTGCAAACCCATGAGAACAGTCGCCTGATTCTCTGGCGAGCCTGGGGCACAGGCACACACCGACTCCTGGTCACTACTGGCAGCACTGATCTGGCAGGAATCCATGCTTGGCTGTGCAGCAGGCATGCTGTACCGCGACCACATCTCCAGCGGGCCCATCGTCTCTGTCAGGCCGACCGGCTCTATGCTACCACTCTTAGAGTCTGCCCACAGCTGCCTAATGGCACTCCTCAACGAGGGCACCATCTTGACAGACTTCCAGGCCCGTTGGCCGATTTCCTGCAGCTGCTGCTGCTCCTCCTGAGCAACATGGTCCCTGCACTGGCCTTTCTCCCTGTTGTTGCATTCCCCCATCCTCCGGCAGATGTACAACTGCCACAGCCGCACCCACATGATGGACTCATTTCCCCTAGGATCGACCTCTGTCATGGTGTACATGAAGGGCAGCTTGGGGAGGTTGTCTATGGCCAGCCAACGTGACCAAGTCCTGGACGTGGCATCCCACCTGAAGCCTGCCTCCTTGGCCTTCTCGCGCTCAGCATAGTCCACAAGTGCAACAACACGGCACTTGGGTCTGGCGGCTTTTGAGATGAGGCCAGGAAGGTCTTCAACTGCGCTGAACAGTGATGCAATGAGCTGGCAGTCGCTGAGTGCCCTGTGCGCGCAGGTGACGCCTATCCCGTGTGCCAGTGCCAGATGGACGAGATTCATGGCCGGGCGGTGCTGCTTTGGCCATTGGAAGTCATAACACGTGCACAACCAGACCTGCAGGAAGGCAGGACAAATACAACACTCAGTTCAGTTTTAAGTGGCCTGCTTGTGAGGCACAGGAGTTCTAAAACCATCATGCTGACGCTCATTGTCAACTGTGTCCAGTTGCCCCTGCTTGGCAGCCAATGCAAGGCAGGGTGAATGGCAGAGTGCTCCATTTCAGCAACTGCTGATCCATTGGAAGGGCGCATCGTCTGGTGCACAAGCCGAGGACGCCAGCAGACAAAAACCGTGCGCTGGGCTGGCGTTACAGCAAAACAAGTCGGATCTCTTGGATGCTGCCCACTTGGTAAAACACTTTTTGCAGGGAAGGATATTGAAACTCTATTTCACCCTGGCAATTTGTCCACAATGGACTCTTGAAACATGGCTCAATTTTATTGGCAGCACACATCCCGCGGTCAGTCCCCACACTTCCCGCCCACCACTGGCATGTCCATGTCGTGCAGCACCCCCAACAGCTGTGCACGCCGTTCTGAACAACCCAGCCAACCAACAGCACGCTGCTCTCTCGAGAAGTGCCGCAGTGGCGGGCCTGTTTCTCGCTCTTCGCGGGCTCGCGACCCCAAACCTCATTTTTGTTCCCCTCCACAGCTCTCGTTCTTCCACAGCCACTAACCCTGTCGGTCCATTCCCGACACACCGCGCAGTCCGTCACGCTTCGCTCCGCGGATGCCTTGCGACGCGGAAAGCGGTCCCCGCCTCCCAAATTCAGCGAATTTACGAAGCTCTCAGACCCGAGACCCACCTTCTGCGCCAGGCTGGCCAGGCCCCGGTGCTCCGCGATGAAACCCCTGTCGAAGTCCACGTTGTGCGACACCACGAACTTGGCGCCTGCCGCCCACGCGCAGATCATCTCGCACACGATGTCCGCGTGCTTCTTCCCCACCGACAGCGCCGCAGCCACGGGTATCTGGTTGATGGCGCTGGCGTCGTTGGCGCCCCTCCGGGGGGGCAGCAGCGTGGACACTTGGCTCAGCACGCAGCGGCTGCGCACGGAGTACAGGATGGCGCCGACTTCGATCAGCTCGCCCGTCGCCACGCTCAGGCCCGTCGTCTCCGTGTCCACGATCAGCACCAAAAAATCATCGGCGGTCGTCGGGGCGTCCATGTCGCCGCCGGGCCGCCGAGGCCGGGCGGCGGCCGCACGGATTGGGCGGCTGGCGCCCTGTGGCGGCCCTTAGGGCGCCAGCGAGCGAGTGCGCGGTCCAGCTGCGCCGTCCTGTATGCCACGCAATGGGGGTGCTTCGGCTCGGCCCTGGGACAGGCGCGCGTTGCCTCTGGAGACGGCCGCGTGCGGGGCGCGCGTTGCTGGGCTGCAAGTCGACCGTCATGTCGGTCTGCGCGGTTCGGTTGCGCATTTTCTTGCTGATCATCATCATCAAGAATTCTTACATATTGTTACAAGGCCGGACATCCGCGCGCGCTGCGCACCCGCGGTCCTCTGATTAACCCGACGGTGCGATAATGAGCTAGGGCCGAACGAAAATGGTTTGAGTTCATAGCAGAAAGTTGAATGTAAGCTAGTTTAAACATGAGTTGAGCATGTTCAATCGTAGTGATCTTCAATCACATGGATTTGGCTTCTTAGGATGGAAGTTAATTGCACTAGTTAGTGCATCAAATGGTGCTCTTGACGGTGCATAAACTTGTGCACCAATTGCTAGTCTATTAAATGGAACGATCGTTGTACAAATCTGTGCATCAACTGATGCCCCAATAGGTTCAGTGATTGCAACATGAGAACGAAGTGAGATTTTGAGCGATGGAACATAATTATTTGGATTTATGTTTTAAGATCTTAGCCATGTGTACTAAGTGGGTGTCATGCACCAAATCGAGTTGGTGCCTTGGGCACTGCACGGTTGGCCTTTGCAACGCTTCCTTTTGCGCCCTGTGAGTAATAGCGTTTCAGTGCCTGTTCAAGATCAAATAGCGTTGAGAATCTATGGTTTGATTAGAAAAACAAGTGGTACCGAATGGGCTTCTTTATAGCTGACGTCCTGTCGTTCTTGGCATGCACCGTGGTGGTGAAAGTGGAGAATAAGTTCTGTTATTATTGTCCATTGTTCGTGACATATCTTGTTTCCGTTGGTTATTTTTCTGTTCGTTTTGGAGAGGATTCTCGTTGCATGTCAGCATTCATTGTGCTTTCCGTTCAACACATTTTTTTCTTAGGCGTTTTTTCATCCGTGTTGATGTGGCACACGAGCGAGCGCCCAGGAGTGAGCACGTTGGAGGGCGCCTGCCACAAGCTATGCACACTGGGAGGGGCGAGGGCGAGGCCCAAGGAGGGGCAGCCCAGGCGCTGGCCGCCAGCGTCTTCGTTGCCCTCCGATTGACCACCGGTTGACCGCCGATTGGCGGGCGCCATAGCAGGCGATCGCCGCTGCGGGTAGCATAGCTGGGATCTCGCGGGGTGCGAGAGCCCCCTCAAGATTGACGCCTCGCGGGCGGCCAATCACGCAGCCCTTGGGGGGCTCGAATGCCCCCCTGCTGGTCGGGCGGTTGGCCGCCCGCGAGCTCTGGAAAAGTCACACAGATCGGCGCCTCGCGGCCGCCGAGTCACACCGGCCGCGGCGGCCTAGATTGGCGTCAATAGGCAACCCGAACGGGCGCCCGCGAGGCACCAAAGGAGCGGCCCGATTGGCCCTTACGAGGCGCCGTGGATGGCTGCAATCGGTGGTCGTGAGCAGCGAAAGGATTGGGATGCGGCGATTGGCCTCCCACTCCCCCACGGCTTGTGACTTGTGCTTGTGGTGTTGGGGGGGTTCTCTGCTGGTGAGAAACGTGGTGGGCCCGCCTTGCTGCAGCAGGCCATTGTGCGTATCTCCGGCGTGGCTCTAAAGGGCCTGGTGGTTTGTTTGTGAAAGGGGCTTGGCATTGTTTGTTTGTGTGGGGAGGCCGCCATACCGATTGCGGGGGCTTGTCAGGCGTTGGTGGCGGTCAAAAAGGGCTCCTCCAATCGCTCCCCTGCCCACCCCTGGCCAACCCCTACAGCAGGATTGCCCACCCAGCCGCACCACAACGAGGCGCGTCGCTGGCGCCCAATCGCGCTGCTGGCCTTGCGTTGAAACGGGGCTATCTGTGGCGCTGTTGGGATCCCAGGAGCCACGAAACGCGCCCAGGGATTCCCGCCTCGCGGGCGCCCATTCCCAGCTCGTGCGGCGGCCTAGAACGGCATCCGCCGCTGGCGGAAATGGGTGCCCACGAAGCGGGAGAGGCGGCCCCTGATTCACACCTTGCATGCGCCCATTCCCGCCGCCCGAGCTGGTCTAGAGCGGCCCCTACTTGTGGCGCGATTGACCGCCCGCGAGCCGCGAGAAGCGGTGGGTATTTGACGCCTAGCGGGCACCCATTTCTGCTGCCCATGCTCGCCTCCAACGACCTCTCTCGGTCGCGGGAATGGGTGCCCACAAGCCGGAAGAGGCACCGAGTAATCCACGGGCGCCCAGGAGGCGCGAGCTGCACGGCCTGATTGGCCCCTTGCGGAGGCCTATTCCTGCCGCGCGTGCCTCCTTGGAATGGCCCCCCGAGGTGCGTGAATGGGCACCAGCGACTTGGGAAGGGGACGGGTCATTCGCCCCTCCTGGCCGCCCTTTCCTGCCGCCCGCCGCCGTGCTAGCCACTCCCCGCTCCGCTCTGCACCGTGGTTTCCAAGCCCGGTCGGCCCATGCTCCTTTGGCTCTCGGGCGCGCCTGGTGCTTGGGGTCCGTCGAAGCGCCCTTTGTCATCGGTTGACACAAACCTCGTTCAAGGTCGACTTGTTCGCGCGACCGCAAGTCGCCTGGCTCCCACCACGATGCGCGCTTTGCTGAGGGCGCCGGCAAACCTCGCTCGGCGCTCAGGGCGAGAGACGCCAATCGCCACGACTCAAAGTTGTGTTTCTCTCCCATGTGCACGGTGCCAGCGTGGCGGGGCGCAGCAGGGTGTGATGGCGAAGGACTTTGAAAAATCCGTGGCAGGGCCCGCTGTCGACGCGGCCAGGGGCTACCGCAGTGCTTTGCTGCAGTAGTGCATGCACGCATGTCGGACTTAGAGGTGGCCACTCAAAGGTGCCATCCGGTCCGTTAAATCCGGTTCGTTAATTTTTATCAGCTGTCCGTTGAATTTCGTTAAAGAAAAAGGGAGAAAAATTCAGAAAAAAACGAAAAAAATCCAAAAAAATCGAAAAAAACCCAAAAAATCACAACAACTGCGGCTAGTTGGAAATCTAGTATGCATAGGTTGAAATAAAATACAAACATACTCTCTAATAGCGAATTCCATAAACTATAAGTATGACTAAAACCCAAAAATCCCCAAAAAATCCAAAAACCCGCTAATTTTTGGTTAATTTTTGTCTTTTTTCGTTATTTTCCGTTATTTAATGGAAAATTAACGGAAATTAACCTCTGTCCGCTATTAACGGATCTGGGTGGCCACCTCTAGTCGGACTTGCAGGGCGAATATTTTAAATACCGTCGGGTTAACGGCTAGAACTGATTGAGTGTTATAAATAACTGAATGTATGAAAAGATGACGAAGCACTAGGAATTACATTAAGGATGTTGATGAACGGACTGGGTATAAAGGACAGAGCGTCTGTTGTCCTTTTGCCTCGGCTGTAAACCGTTGCCGTGGATTTGAGCGTACGATTCCCGTTCAGGGATCGCCACCCCTCGACCCTGCCTGCCTTCGTCATTTGGCACCCGAGGCAGGGGGTGTGCAAGTCGAGACACGGACCAGGTTAGCCTGTTGCAACCTGGGGCGGACTGAGTGCCAAGAGCACTAGAGTTCTACGTTGCCCAGGCGACGTTTCCGAGAAACTTTTTGGGATCGAAGATTCAAGACATCCATCGAACGGTTGGTTACGACGGGACTCTAACGACCCAGAGTCCATTTCGTGTGGCCCTTCTGGAGTGTTTTGGCAAGAGCGCCAGCGGCGATCAGCTGTCGCTAGGCGTGGGGGTCAGTTTTGGGTCAAGGCTTCCACCGTTGACTTGAATACGGAGAGAATTGTACGTTGCGAGTGAGTCCAACGGGCAGTGCGACAACGTGTCACTGGTGCGCCGTAGCAGAGTGGCTCAGCCGCCGCCAAAGGGATCAATTCGCTGACTGATTGAGCCTCCTCCCAAGGGACGACGCGCAGTGCAGCACCACTCTCGTAGTGCTGTGCTACGGCTTGGAACAGTACGACGTGTTGTGCTGCGACGGTGTCGGCGATTCATTGTGGTTGCTGATGTGTCCAAGGGATCACGTGTTTGCCACATAGCACACACGTCCCCACAGTGAGGATTGCGTGACAAGGAGTCAGCAGGACAGCAGCTTGTGTCAGCTTGTGTCAGCTCGTGTCAGCTTGTGTCGGCTTGTGTCAGCCAACGGTGTAATCCTACAAGGTGGCACATCGTGCTGATACAGTGAAGCGTCACTGTTGGTGTCGAGCGAGCAACGTGGCAGGGCGCGAGCGGCCCATGTGGCAGTGCTAGTACATTGAAGCAACATGGTGCACGGTGTCAAACCAAAGGCACGTCCCTTCACAGGAAGGGGAGAAGACCCAGGGGTATGGGTCAAGCATTTCCTACGGGTAGCAAGGAGTAATGGCTGGGACACGTCAGCAGCAAGGATTGCTAATGCTGCTGTAGTTTTGGAACAAGAGGCAGAGACATGGTACAATAGTAGAGCAGCACATTGGGAAGGTGACGAACGTACATGGGATGAGTTTGAAGCTGCATTTGTCACAAGATTCAGAGCACCTGGGTATTTGGAACAGATCGAGTGTGCTTTGCATGACCCAAAACAAGTTGAAGATGAATCAGTGGCCTCTTATGCCGAGAGGTACAGATGTTTGCATGCTGAGCGGGAAGCACTTGATGGGGATGCACTTCCCATCAGTGCACTTCGACGTTATTGGGTCATGGGCTTGAAGAAGGAATTCCGCTTGGATGTTTTGAAAGCGGATATTCCTGATTTTGACCATGCAGTGGCAGAAGCCAAGCGAGTAGAGAAAGCAACGCTTCTCATGGAAGGGAAGTTGCCAGCAGCTGGCGAGCTTATGAGAAGTCGAGCCATGACGTCAGACAAAACCGACATTGATGGGCTGCAGCGAAACGTGGAGAAGTTGGCACAATC